TTATAAATTCTGGACTAACCACTGCAGCAATGTGCTCACAACCTGTGTCACCAGTGGTTGCAGTTCCCTCAGAGCTATCAGGAAGGCTGAACATGTTGTCAAGAGTAGCTTAGACCAGAAATTACTTGAGATCCTTAGCTAGGGATGGCCTGTATGAGAACAAAAAACCTGGAAGGTTTTTGCCTCTCATTTCTTTTTGGTAACAGCTTGGCTTTTATTCTTTCCCACCCTTTATCTTTTGGGCTTCTCTGAAATCAGATTGTGCATCATCCTGCAAGAGCAGGGCTCTGTCTTTCAGAAAAAATGGATTTTAAAATTGGAGTAGCTCTCTCCACCCCACTGGGATGGAGAAAGCCTACTGGTAATGGGGTCCCACCCCTCTCCCCAAATGTCTCTAAGTCTCCAGGCACATAAACAAGGCCTCCACCTCACCCAGCAAAGGAATCCTTGTGCCTTTAAATGCCCTCCCCATGGCGGGTGCACACTTTTCTGCTTATTCTGAACTGACAGGTTTAACATGTCGTTTGCCTGGTCACCGGAGAGAGGCACCTCTGGCAAAAGTTCAGAAGTCAGTGTTTTGGAAAGATTGGTTTGACCAGCTCTGAAGCGAGAGCAAATCCCAGACCAAAGGCAGTCAAATCTTCAACGACATTTAACCACTGTGGTGCTGTAGCTTGCTGACATCCTTTTAACCTGGAGAGGAGTGTTCAGCGCACTTAAACCTTCAATTTTATTTATTGTTTCTTTTCTGCTTTGTTGGCACGGGAAACTTGGGGTGAAGACAGGATGTTTTGACTTAATTCTAGTTAATTAATTAGCTTGCATCTTGTTTTGGCCCAAGACTACAGGACAGACAGCAATTTTTGATCTTGCCTTGGTATCTAGACTTCTGTAATATATAGTGTTGCAGTAAGGATACATATTCCCTTATTGCCTCTGCAGGGCTTGTTATTGAAATTATGTTAAGATTCACCACATCTTGTTTTGTAAAATTGCCACATCACAAACTTCTTCTCCTCCCTTGATATTTATTTACATTGAAGGGTAACAATTTCTAAAAAACAAGAAAACAAACAAGAGCATGCAAACAGTTAATAGCAAGTGGTGCCCAAATTACATATTTCTTAAACTCATGGCCTACTTTACTAATCAGTTGTCATAAGATGTCAGATGGGGACCCATCACTGAAGAATTGTAGAATGCAGCCAGTGAAGCAACTAATTAGTTGGGCAGTGGCATGGAGGTGTGTGTCCCCAAGGAGCTGAAATGATCAGAGCAGGTGAAGAAAGTTTGGACAGATCAGTATCTCTGTGGTTTAAAAGCCAACACTTGGCTGCATTCACAGGGATGCTGAGGGTGAGGGCACCACGGGTCCTCCTTGGGGACATGCATGGTGGGGGACTGCAGCACTGCTGCTTCCAGAAAGAAAGGCAAGTCAGCTGAATGCTTGGAGGAGCATGACCTGAGATGTGCAGGAATTAGAATAGCTGAGCAGTTTCTGGTTTCAACTGGGAGAGTTGTAGCTCTCTGGCTTATTTGCCAACTCATTCCCAAAGCCTTTGCTTCCCGGTCACTGCGGGAGTCAGCATTGGTCATTCTCTGTGGGCACCAGACAAGTGGGCACCACCCTTCACTCCCTTCTGTGCTCCCTTCAGGCAGGTGATGGGGATTGGGCCAGCAGAGCAGAGGAACCATTGCCTCCTCATGTAGCTGGGGACAAAAGGCCTCAGGAACAAACATAAGAGCCTCTCTTGTGGACTAAAAGATGTAAAAGACTAAACACGTATAACTCTCCCATATACTCCTTTAACACCAATTGTTTTAAAAGTGCTGTGTGACTTTCTTCCCTTTCCCCTTCATCCTGCCCCAATATAGGTGCACCCCTGCTGCACTCATGGAATTCTGTCTCCCTGTTCAAACTCCACAGGTGCAGCAGTGGAACAAATCCTCTCCAAAACTCCTTCAAAGGACGAGCCCCACCCCCCTGCAGGACCTGGGTGTGGGTCTCTGTGGGACACCAGGAACCCCTCACATCAGCAAGTCACTCTCTTTCTCAGCAAAAATGAGGATCTCAGTTCTTGCCCCTTTCTCTTAGGGTAAGCTGAAACACAGGAATTAATTTGGAATCTTTAGTGCAACAAGTCCTCAGGAGAAATTCTTCTTTTTGGTGCTTTGATTTCCAAAATGTTATTGTACACTGCAAGAACAGTCACACAAGATTGATGCATTAAATATTAGTAGTATTTAGCTGTCTTGCTGTACAGATTAAGGATGGCCATGTCACAGGAATTATCAGGAAATCCCCAGACCTGGAGGTCACTTTTGAGCCTTACTCTTGCAAGGCCTTGATTCAGTGCAGTAGACTACTGCCAAATGTGCAATCCAGGGCTCAGCCTGGACCCACAGTTTCAGGACTAACCAAACCCAGGGGAAAGGAGGCTGTTGGAGGACAAAATGATCATGTCACCAAGGCTGGCAGACAGGTCTGGAGGATGCCTTGCACAGGTAGTTTGGACCACATGCCCTGGCAGAACGACACTCAGCAAGCCCACACAAATGCTGTCTGGAGCTGTAAAAGTAAAAAGACACCAGTTCCTTCCATCCTGTTGAATTCAGGCAAGGTACTTACTTGAGGGACAGATTCTTGGTTCCAAAAAAGCTGCTTTGACCTTTGAGCTGCCAAATTCCTTCCCCCATTACCTCCCATCTTTCTTTCTAGTGTTGCACAGCTACTCTGAGTCATTGTTTATCTAATTTAATTAACATTTGCTAGTGCCTGCAACCTAAAACACTGTCTTAAAACATTTGCTTGAAAAGCTTCCTTGTCCCAGAGCTGTCATTTTTAACATGATGGATAATGGATAGAAATAATTATCCTGAACAAGGTTAGACAGCTTAAATGATTTGAGTTTCAAGGAATTAGTAAGCTTAGCTAAACATCTTATTTTTCAAGACATATTCATAATAAAAACACAGCAATGTCCATAATGGATTGCAAAATCTGCTCTCTACTAAAATTTTTGTGATCCCTCACAGGTTCAACACCTTTATCCAGGAAGGTTTAAATCAGTCCATCATCTCATACATGGAATCACAGAATTTCCTGATTTGAAACGTGCCCACAAGGATCATCAAGTCCAAGTCCTGGCCCTACACAGGACATCCCCAAGAATCACACCATCTGTCACCATGTACATCATCAACCCCTGCATTTAAAGGAATTTGAACCCCAGATAAGATTCTTCCAGGGCTATGGAGAGCTGGTGTCCAGTTTAGCTGGTCCAATTGGGTCATGGGGGGACCTGGATCCATAGAAAGTCAGCCCCCAGAACAGCTCTGGAACAGACCAGAAGAAATCAGAAGGCAGAGACTTGGTACAAACAGAGTGAGCTATTTCAGCTTTACAAAGGTATTAAGCAGAGTGGAATTGGGCTCACTGCCTCTGTATTATTTCCCTAGCCCATAATTTTGGGGAAAATACAAGTTTTCAATTAATCATTGACCTTTAGCTTTGAAGAAAAACAGAACTTTGGCATTGAAATTGCCGAAAAATAAGAGTAACAATTTGCAATTGCTTAATTTCCCTCCTAGAAAGCCAGGTGCAGCCAGGCCTCCTGGCTTTGCACTGCGCAGAAGTGAGCTCTCCTCCAGGGACACTCAATCCAAGGCAGACAAAGAAAACATGGAGAAAAACAAGCACCTGGCAGAGAAATGCCAAGCCACAGGCAACAGGATATGGGAATGTCCCCTCCCTGCCCTGCTCATTGCACTGTGACACTTTTCAAATAATGACCCTCCTGCACCAGGCAAGATGCACAGACCTGATGTTGTTCCCCTTGGTTTGGAGCAGGGGGTCACATCCTGCTGCACATCAGCCACATTAGTGCTCTCAAGGACTGCCCACACATCCCACATGAACACAACCCCAGGAGCAGAGTCTGGGTTATGGGCTCCTGCAGTCTAAATTGCATCAATATGATGGAGATTTTCACATAAGGTAGGTTTTTGTTTTTCTTTAATTCTCATTCTAGAAGTTTTACATTGCTGGGGCCTTTTTAAATAAAAATCCCTGTTTAAAAAAACAAAAAAAAAAGTCCCTTTTCACTTCTGAAAGCAAAGGAAAATTTTCTGGGAAAATTTACCCACTTGGTAAAATCCAGAGTTTTGCTTTGACCCTCACTTTTTACATTTTTAGATTTCTTTTTTAAAGATCTCTGCATTGGAGTAGAACAATTTAAAATTCTTCCAGCAAAGTGCAGTTTTATTGCTCCAGAGGCAGCATAAAGCTGAATGGGTGGCTGTATTTCAAGCGAGGAGCTGTGGGAGAGTGCAGCTTGCAAGTGGCAATAGAGCCCAGAAATTGAACTCTAGCCTTTCTATTCAGTGCTCCTTTTATTATTAAGTCACGGAATAAGTAAAATGTTACAGGGACACTTTAAATCTACACTTGTTTGTACAGCATCCAATGAATATGTGATGGGAAAAGAAAATGAAAAATGTGGGGATGTTGAAAATAAGGAGGAGATTGGATGCTGAAGAATCAAGTGTGGTAAATTATGATACAGTTAAATCTGTAATTTTAATCTGAAATGAAGCAACACAGCTTTGGTGCATTCTCATGGCTGTGGGGTGGCTTTGGGGTAGGTGCTCTCTGCTTGCTCAGAGGATGGGACATCTCTGTGACATTGCAGAAGGCAGTAATGGCCAAGGGCTGCCTCAGTTGTAGCAAAAAACTGTTATCTTAATATTGAAGATCCCTTTTGTTCTGATTTTTTTTCAGACTTGAAACAAAACAGTCCAGAACTGATTTGCACGGAACTTTTGATCATGCTTGTGAAAGCATGGTCACAGGTGGCAAACACAGGTGAGAGTGTGGAGCCATCACTCACACCAGCATCAAGGTAGGATATGAAGGAGGTTTGGGTGAAAGATGCCTGCAGGCTGCCATTAGCACCTCTTAATGATCTGAAACCTAAATGTCTGGTTGATGGCTCTAATTTAGGCTAATGAGCCTTGCTTTGTTTTTAAGGGCCAAGAAACTTCATCTAGAGCTGGCTAAGGTTCACCTGCAGGGCTAGAGATTTCTGTTGTTCCTTCTAGGGTAAGACCGTGCAGACGACCCACCACCAGCATTTGCCCATTGTTTCCCATTGGGATCCAGCTTTGCTGAATTTTTTGGGTAAGTGTCCCTATACCGACAAGTGTTAGCACCCCCCAGCGTGGGGAAAGCAGGAAGAGGCAAGGGAGTGTGGGCACTTTTCCAGGCAAGGACAATGGACAGCCATTCCTAACACTGGCACCATGCAGGCTGCAATTTTAAGAAGCAGCCTGCAATTTTGAAGTCCTTAGTTTGTGCTTTTGTAACCCAAATAGGCAATAAAATACAAATATTGCTCCTATTCCTGTGTCCCAGAGCAGGATGGAAGAAAAACCTGGAAAAACCATTTCTTTGTGTTCTGGGCTGACAGGGACCAGATTTATTTCTGTTTCTCACCAGTCCAAACCAGTTCCCTGGTGACCACCACTGGCACTGGAACTCCTGTACTCCTATAGTCACCTCTTTGTGCTGGCCTCATCACTGGAAAGTCATGGTGATTTCCCCAGTGGGAGCAGGTGGGAATCCCTCGGCCAAACGTGCTGGGAAAGAATGGAAATGGCAAACTCTCCTGCTGTTATTTCTTACCTTGTTTTAGATGTGGTCTAAATGTTCCAAATTCCCAGTAATTGTCTTTCTCCTACTCTGAGAAAGCAGCACAGTGTTAAAAATGGTTTCCTGACAGTGTTTCTAATATGCAGTAGTGGGACAGATGAGAACACTAAGGAGCTTTTTTCCTGTGTTTTTGTGCCTCAGAGGAGGAGCAAGTGACCCATGAATTTGCCCCATCATCTCTAGTGTTGCAAATAACCACATTTTGTGTTTTCTGTGTATCAGAGATGGGTGAGTCAAATGGCAGAGAGCACTGAACACAGTCCCTTGACAAGGAGATCCCCCTGTGTACCATGGATTAAATCCTGCAGCCTAAAAAGCAATTCCAGAGTTGTCAGGGGATTCTTGCTCCAGATTTTATGGTACCCAAGACTGTTGCAGTGCTGCAATCAGGTGTTGAGCAGCCACAAGAAAACCAAATCGGGGGGGGGTAAGAAAAGCAAGGTCTACACAAAACCTATGGGTGGCAAAGGTACTCATCCACAAACCTTCCCCACAGAGCAAGAGAGCCAGCTCTGCCTTTTCATCAAAACCAGGAATCACATGAAAGGAACCACAACCCACACGAGCTATCTGCTCCTGGGGTTTTCCTTCCTGTAGCACAGTTGGGTTTCTGGTGCCATTTGTTCCCTGAGCTTGTGGATATGTAATATGAGGCAGAGCATTCATTATTGGGGAGCCACAACTGAGAGATGGATAATATGTTTGGGTGCCAGTGTTAGCCTTGGCCCTATGTAACCATCGTGTTGGTAACCTGAGTTAAATTGCTCGTGGCAAAACCAAGAGATTGGTTTTCCTTAGCAACCACTTTGTAACTGCAGAGTGCGTCCAACAAAAGCAGTAGTAAAGTATCATAATGTAGGTACTTTTTTACGGTTACCAGGTCATTCTTGGAGATATATATGTGTATTTATAATGAATGTGTTGCCTCTGTGTGCTGGGTGGCTGCAAGAAGCTGGGCTTTGGAGCATGAAGTAGCTGCAGCCTCCTCCATTGCTGGAGTTCAGGGGGTGTAACAGCCTCTGCTCACTCTTTTTGGCTGGGAGGAAGAGCTGCTTTGTCTCCTGCCTTTGTGGCATTGCCAGTTCTTGGCAGACCTCTGTCATCTCTTCCCATCTGAGGGCACCTTTGCTTCTTGTCTGCCCCATGACTGTGTGAGTGGGGCAGTTGTGGTTGTCCTGCTGGGATTTTGGCCAAACACCATGGCAGAAAGTGCTCCAAAACACATAAAGCTGGACTAGGGGGCACAGGCATGAGCCCAGAAAACTGCTATTAATACAGATGTATTTTTAATAGATAAAATCCAGAATGGTTGTGGTGGGTGTTCTTTGGTCTGGCTCTTCAGCCTAGTGTAGATGTGTAGAGCAGATTTCTGGGTCTTTGGGGTTTTTTAATTGAATAAAAAGGAAGTTTCCAAATGAAAATCTCAAATTTACTATGGAAAAATCTGATGGGAGTAATCAAAATGCAGCATTGCGTTCTGGGATCACACCAATGTGCCAAAGTCCAGCAGCTTCAGCTGGATATCCTGATCTGAGAACATCACAGTGTTCCATTGTGTGTCCCATCCAACATAAACAGTTGTGACTTGGTTTTTCTTCTGTAAGAAAATCTCAGTGCTTCAACATTTGGCTGAAAACAAATACCAGTTAATGTTCTTTATGTTTATTAAATAGGAAATCAGTGAGTAAGAAAGAGAGTGTGAAAAATGTTCTATAATAATTTCAGATTTTGTTGATAATGACACAGATCCTTGCCCCAAAATTTTAAATTCAAGCAACTAGCCAACTTATGCAATATTTAGAAAATGTGTGATCTTCTGATTATTCCAGTGGAAAATGTTTAGGAATTTGCAGAGCAGTCTCTGTGGTGTTTTAGATGTAGGGATTCATTCAAGCATCTGCTTAGGTCCTGTTGATGCTGTAAGACCTAAATCCCATTCCTAAACAGCAGTGCTTTCCCAGGTGAGGATTCAGGTTGGAAAAGTGCTTCCCTGTTGGCTCTGTCTCAAGCTTTTCTCACAACCACTCCTGCAGTGGGGTAGGTGTCCAGGGGGAGGGAGTAATTTCCCCAAACATTTCCTGTTCCCTGCAGCTGGATCCAGTCTTGCTTGTGAGTTGGACACAGTCCTCAAGGTTTAGGAAGTGGTTCCTGTAAACCCAGAACAAGGCTAATTTCAGGTTATTAGAGTTTTGGCTCTCAAAGCCTTTGTTCCTCATTCTGCTCTCTGCTCAAACCATGGCAGGTGGGTTTGTGAGATTATTCCTTGTGCAAACATGGAGAATCATTGAATCCTGCAAAACTGCCCCACTGTTTGACCAGGGGAAGTTGGGTAGGACACTTGCCACTGTCTCTCTGCAGAGTTTTCAGTGATTTTCAAAGGACAGTTGACTTTTTCTAAATTTAAAATGTATTTCTATGGAAACGGCAAGGCTAGAAGAATGATTTGAGAAAGTTTCATGCCTAATGGCAGCCCAGATAATGGCAATAGACAACCACACAGTGATGTGTGGGGTATAAATCATAGGATCCTCACATGGTTTGAGTTGGAAGGTGCCTTACAGATCTTCTAGGGGGAAAACTTTCCATGAGAACAGGTTGTTTCAAGCTTGAACCAGCCTGGCCTTGTGTATTTCCAGGGATGTGTCATCTCCACACATCCATTTCTCTGGGCTACCTTTGCCAGGGCATCACCACCCTCATGAGAATAATTTCTTCTTAACATCTCACCTAAACCTTCCCTCTTTCTGTTTGAAGCCATTCCCCCTTGTCCTGTCACTACAGTTCCTGATGAAGGAATATCGTCCAGACTATGATATCCCCATCATCCTAAACAGTTGAGCTGCTGGTGTGGGCAGGTGGAACAGAGGATGTGTCCAGCATTCTCCGCTCAGCCTGCACATTCTGGCTTAATGTTCCAAATGGGATCATGAGCAATCACAGCCCCTGGTGCTGGGAAATAACTTGAGCAAACTGGGACCAGGGGATGGAAATGGGATGTGATCAAAGCACCCGGAGGAGCAAAGCCTGCGCGGCACTTGGTGCAGGAGCTGCAGCGTGCCCTTGTCTGGGCGCAGAGGTCGGTGGTGGTGCAGTGCTTCCACAGCAGCGCCTGCATGGAGGCTATTTCCGACTCCCATAAAAATCTTTATGTCTCTGTGATCAGGATTCGGTGATGCAAATTTGCTGTGTCAAAGGAAGATGCCGCTGTAAATGAATTAGTACAAGAAGAACTTCTTATTTAAGAAGTGCTGACTCTGCGCTCTCCCCTATGCCCTCGCTTTTAAAATTGAAGGCTGGGTTTGCTGCTTGCTACGATCTATATTTAGATACTTATAAATGAAGTTTTGCAGTCATATGGCTGCACTCTTGTACAGCTTCATGAAGCTGCTTTTTTCGCATTACAGAGATTTATACATTTGCGTTTACATATTGCAGGTGTTTCCATAAAAGCTCAGTGTGGACACATTCAGGATGGCCTGAAAGAAAATGGAGAAGTGCTTCCAATGTTACTGAGCACACTTACAAATATCGTCCTGGGGCAGAAGAGTGAAGTCACTGCACGAACAAGGGAGCACAGACAGGTAGGATTAATGGATGTGGACTTTTCAGGGACACACCTCCCTACAGAGGGATGAGTTGTGCAGGAGGAGGACAGCATCCCTTTTGGGATGTATCTTGTGCAATGCTCCCAGTAAACTGCTGAGCCCCTAGCAGAATATTTCAAAATGTCAGAGAGTGCTGCAGTGCTGAGCTCATGCTCTGTAAGTGATAGCCTGATGAATTATGTGCTGTACACACTACACACAAATCCTGTCCCAACCAGCCCTGGAAGAGGAGATAGCACTCTTGCTGGTGTGTCCTCTGCTCCAGGAACCTTGCCAGGAGGACACACCATAATTCATGCTCTGCTGATGCTTTATAAAAGTTGCAGCCTGTACTTTGGCTGCTGTGCTGCTGACCCCAGCATCCATGTCAGCCTGCAGCCCCTCCATGCCTGGTGGGTGACTGCAGTTTCCTGTGCCTGTCCTGGGAAGGCTAAACCATCAACTGACCCTTCAGCTGGCACAGGCAATGCAGGCAGGCAGTCTTGCCTTGCCTGGCCTCTGCACCACATCCCACCAAAATTCAGGGCTCCCCCTGCTTTCAGGCAACCCCCAGCTTTGTTCTCATGGCTGCAGAAGTCTACAGCTCAATGCAGAAAACAAGGTGGGAACTCATAGGGCTTCTCCTTAACCTGAGAACTCCTTTAATTTCTGCTGAGTTACAGCTACCAAAAGCAAGGGATTATCAGCACTTGATTTATCCTGGTTTGGGGCTCACCATAAAGCTATAATGCAGCATCTTCCATAAGGAAGTGCCTGAGACACAGGAGATTTCCTGCAGGGAAGGAGCAGACTAACAGTATGGGATGATGGGGGAATTTCATGTGAAGATGAAACACTCCTGAACCATTGAAGGGGAATGGCAGGAGTTTGTGCAAGAATGGTGAGAAAGAGTTGGCTGTGGGGAAGAGTAGTTTCTTCCACTCTTCATCCCCTTTTCCATGGTGGGCTGTGAGCCTGGGCTAAGGAAGGCACAGTTCAAACTGTGCTCTGTGGACACGGCAAGGCAAGGTCCAACAGGGACAAGGAGGGCAGGCAGGGTCAGGAGCAGCCGGGCAGGTGACTGTCCAGGCCAGCACACACTGAGGTGCCAGTCTGCCCTTTTTTGAGACTTTTGCCTTTTTGGAGACTTCTTGGGGAGCTAAAAATCCCCAATTTCCTGGGGCCACAGACCAGGCCGAGTGCTGGCCCAAATGTGGGTCAAGAGTGACACCCTGTGGACAAGTTACTCTTTTTCGTAACCTTACAGGATTTCTCGCCGGATCCTTTTCGTCCGCCTCTTTATTCCCCCTCCCCAGAGTTTTCCTTTCCCAGCTCTCCTCCTTTCCCAACCCAGGTGTTGCCACTGCAAGCCCCGCGATGCTCAGGGACCTGCGTAATCTCATCGCCTTAAAAGTGCGGATTAAGGGGATGAGACCGAAATTTCCCCCTTCCCTTTTGTTCCTCTTTGCTTTTCCCGCTTTTTACAGTTGTTTTCCCCCAGTTTATACTGGGTTTCATCCCTGCAGCTCAGCGAGGGCAGCGGCTCCTGCCCCGCCGCGCTCCCCCAGCCCCGCAGCCGGAGCCGGGTGCGCTCCCGGGGCTCGTAAATCTACTGCCTGCTCGCAAAATTTGGCAACTATGAACCCGGGCTGTCTGTTAAACCAGGAGAAAAACTGCGTGGGCTTCCCCCTCAGCAATTCTCCGTGTCCTCCACAGCTCCACAAGCTGCCCCCCGGAGTGAGAATTCCTGCCTGAGCAGTAGAACACCTCCAAAAAAAAAAGAGTATTTCAATATTTGCTTCTCTTCTGGTCACTCTAGTGCTCCCTTCCCAATCCTGGTGCTGGGATTGCACCACGCTGTCCTGATTTTCGTGGTGTTGTTCCCAAGAAGTGTCCCAGAACAGGCTGATTGACACCAGCTGACAACCTGGAGAGGATACAGCTCTATTTTAAGCAACAAATAATTTAGTTCTATATTGGTGAGAAAATCCTCATCACTCATTTAATTATGCAGATCTAAAAGAAACCATAACTTGGCACACCTGAATGCTGGGAGTGGGAAAGAGAGGGGTGTCAAATCCTTCCAAGAGCTTATGTCCTTTCTTATCCCTAGCAGTTTAACCCTGCCAAGACTGCACAGCCCAGAATATCCATATATCCAAAACAGAGCCTGGATGGAGATTCCTGAATGTCCGCAAAAGCAGCAAATAAAACAGCAGTAATTCTTTCCAATGACATTTATATGCTGCTATTAACTCTGCTTTAGCTGGTATAGTTTAGGGCTTCTAGAAAACATGACTTCAGATGAAATAACTACTGTAGGTTTCTGCTGAGAGGAGCTGCAAGTTTTGCCTGGACTCCTACACAGATTGTCTGCCATTTTTCATTGTATTCAAAATCCTGGAGAGGAAGAGGTATCCTAGAACCAAAATTGATATTTTTATGCCCTTATGTCATTCCCAGCATTTTCTAGGCCTGAGGTTTTGCATCTTTGCCAGATGAAAAGAGAAAGATAAGACCTCTTGCCCAGCTTGGGCATGCTATAAGAAATGAGAAGTAGAAAAGCTTTAAAAAACATCTGCATTGTTCTGGGAATTTCCTAGAGAACATCAAAAGTGGGAAGATCCACCAGGTACAGAATGTGGGAAAATAAGCAGAAGAGTAGTTGGATGGTTGGTTGACCAAGCAAACAATGAAGGTTGAGAAAAAGAGAGATTGGAGACCCCAAAGTGAGCACAGGAAGCCATGTGCTATCTCCAAGATGTGGTAAGGCTGAAAAATTCCCTTTTCTTTTTTATGAACCAAAGCAACACCTTGATGAGAAACATTTCATCCCAAGCTCTGCCTCCTTGGTTCAGGTTATTCCCCTCTGCCTACAGAAAGATATTTTCTTGTGTCCATTTCAGTCATGGGGGGACAATACAGCCTTTGACATGGACCAGGTGATACAGTTCACCCCAGAGGGGACTGCAGTCCACAGGAGATTTATGGCTTGAAATCTCTGTCATTTATTGGATGGTCTTGCTAAAGATGTGCAGCTCAAAGTCTGCCTTGCACCAGGAAGCTGGGGGGAACAGCCCAGCTGCAACAGCTCTTGGCAGAGTTAGAAACAGGGTCAGACCATGAGGGCCCAGCTTGGAATTTAAATTTGGTCTACTTGAGGTAAATAAAATAACTGCACTGCCTAGTTTGCAAAGGATCATTTACTTTTCTGGAAAGGGGAGTATGTTTTTGGAAAGAGTACAGGCATCTTTCAGGATGAAGGGCTCTGTGTGCAACAATCAAGTTTTTACCTTTTGATTAGCAAAGCTTTATAAAGAATTTCAATTCTGAATTACTAAACAAAGAAACTATACAAGCCCCAGATGAGATTTAAACAGTTTCCAAAAGACATTTAAAAAAAGAGAAAAATACTGAGCCACATGTTTTTTCTTATGTCTCCTGAGTCCATTTATTCCAGACATCTGACATGCAATTCAAATTTCCAATAGTTTTAGGTAACCATGTCCAATTTAGAAACCACAGCCCTCAGCTAAGCCTACCTACCTCCCAAATCAATCCAGAAACCAGAGCACTTGCTGATATTCTGCACTTTCAGCCTTGCAGAGCTTTGTTATATGTGTGCTATACATACTTGGGTTGAGTTTTCTGGCTCCGTGCAATCCATTTAGATGCATTTCATAGACCTGCAGTCAGTGGTCACAGACAGATAAATTATAGCTCCTAATGGAGAGCCTGTTCATGCTTTCAAAGAGTAAAACCACTATAAAATTGATCTGCTCCTTTGAGATGCCTTTGACAGTGGTGCTTGTACGGCAGTTCGGATGAGACGGAAGCAAAGGGCTCCCTGCGGATGAAGAACTAATGAGTTTTATTTCTGGCTCTGAGACTTGGGCTCATTCTTAACCTTTCTGTGCCTGAGAGTTTGTATCTCAAAAGTGGAGGTAAAGCAAAGACTTTGTGATAGGCAAAGCCAAACTACAGTGGAAATCCCAAGTTCCGATATGGGCGGGTAATGTCCTGCTATGTGCCCTTTCCTAATTGCCTGCAGAAACCTCCTTGACGAGGATTTAATCATGTTTGGGAGGAGGTAAGTTTGGCAAGGTTGCATTAAGTGATGGTTTCCACACCACTTTTCTCACCTCAGTCCCTAAAACTTGGGTCGTCCAACCCTACAGACCCCAGCACTCTGACTGAGCTCATCAATCAGGACATGCTCCTCCTGAGAGGTTGACATCAAAAATCCTCCCTGCCAGTGCCCCAGGCAAATAGTAGATGGTCAGGCTGAACTTCCAGGAGAGCTTGGTTGAACAAAAATTATGGAGCAGATTCTCTACTGCTCTCAACATCAGAAGAGACTTATCAGTCTCCAGCAGCGAATCCTGTTTGGCTGCAAGTGGCCATCATTTTATCCTGTAATCCCTCATTCATCTTATTTATTTTTAGCTTTCCAGTCCTCTTTCCAGGGGGAGCACTTGTATGCACTCACAAACTCTGCTATTGGGGAAAAAACAGGATTTGAATCAAATTTATTGCTGTTAATTCCTTTCAGAGACATCATGAATCAGAAGGGGCAGCTAGAGGTGATGAAATGCCTGTTCATCCACAGCCTTTGACACCACTGATCAGAGAAGGGGCCAGCAGTGGAGCTGGTCCCTGGTAGGATTTAGGGGCTGGGAACATGGGAAAGCAAAGGAGAGAGTTGGAAAAATCTCTGGACAATTTTGTTGTTCCTTTTTGTTCTCAGTTTTCCTGAGAATGTCCCCCATTCTCCTTCCTGCAGAGATGATCTGAGCAGAATTTCCCTCCTTAAAAATAAAAAGAATAAATGAGACAATAGAATGAATTAAGGCATTTTCAGCTGACGCCTGGTTTGGGGTGATATTTATGTCCTTCAAAACCTTTGGTGTCAATTGTAACAGCCCCACTGACTTGGGAGGATAACCCTGATTTTAAGGACAATCTCCGCAGAATGCACTGTATTTTAAGCAGCAAACAAGTGGCCAGATTATGGTCCCCCAGTGAAAACACAACAACAGACTTTCTTCAGCCTCTTTTTCTATATATACCAGGGCTGTGAAGTAAAGAGGAAAACGCTGAGTCTGCTAAAAACTGTTCAGATTCTTGTGGGTGCTTTGGAGGAGCTGGTATACAATTTTGAGGCTGTTCTTTCTGCTGGCAAATTAACAGCTTAGAAAAATTACAGCGGGGGGAGGGAAAAAAGAAAAAAAAAAAAGGAAATTCTATTAATGAAACAGAACAATGAAAATCAAAGCTAAAGATGGAAGGAACTGAGTGGGCCCCATCCAGTTCATTGCCTGCTAGGCTGGATTTCTGCCTATAGTAATTTATGCCATAGCCTTGGAAGTGAAAACAGATTTCATTTACTACTGAACAGTACTAGTCTGTGTAGAGAGAGTTCGTGGCCTCGCAGTGTTTCTGTGAAGGTATTGTGGGATTATTGCTCTCACTTTGCAGATGGGCCTGGTAATGCTGCTTGAATTCTTAAATTTAGGCTCTGGAGAGGGGGAATCTGAATTAGGACTTGAATGTCCGAGGACTGTCCCTTGTGTCCTGCTCTCACATGGCCAGGTGACTGCAGGAAGTGTTGAGATCCTTGAGGACCCAGCTGGCACCACTGTTCATGTGTGCAAGGCTCTGCACAGGATCATCCCTTGCTCCAGGGATTTATGCCTCAAAGGTTTGATGGAGGAGTTGGACAGAAGATGTTCCTCCAACTTTAAATACACCTTAAGAGGGAAAAGTACTCTGAAACTCTTGGCTTGCTTTCCTTTTTCACTAGTCTGGTACTAGGCAGAGCCCAAAAACACCTCCTGCCCTTCCAACAAACATCAAGACAGAGGATGGTGAGTCCCTGCCTGCCCACATCACCAACACTGCCACAGGCACAACCTTCCTCAGAGGAGTTTGGCAGTGAAAATGCACATGTTGAGAGGAAAAAAAGAAAGAAAGACAGAAAGAAAACAGGTAAAATTAGCATTTGGAGAAAAGTTCCTATGGAAAAAAAAGCGATATGTTTCCCAAGAGCAAAATGAAAAAAAAAAAAAATCCCAACCCTCAAACCCAAGCTTGCAGAGTCTGCTGTAATTTATGATTTACCATATGAATCTAACTATAGAACTTCATTTAAAAATTTTATAAAGATTGTAAATCTACAGTGAAATGTTCTAGGGACAATCTGCTGGCAGAAACCCACTCTCCAGACTGACCTATGGGGGAACCAGCTTGTCAAGGGCTTGATCTGGAGCCCGCTGAAGACAATGGAAATGCTCTCATTGACGTCAGTAGCCTTTAGATCAAAAAGCCCCCAAAGCTCAGCATGGAAAAATGAGTCCTAAGGAGAAGCAAACTGCTCTAATCAATAGATGTTGCTGGATGAAGGTCTTTAACAATAGTTTAATGGGCCATGATGAGCTCCTCTGGACACTTTTATTTGGTATTGTATGTATCTTATAATCTTTCTCCTGAAACTTTTAATGGAATTTATCTCACTAGAGAATTTGGGAGAACATCTGCTGCAAATGATGGGTAAAGACATAAGCTGTTGTGGGTGGGGTGAGCCTCAGGAGGTTCACAGTTTGGGTTTGGCTTCTGCTTCAGATTCTTATCTGAACTATACAGATCTCCTGTGGCTGCAAAAATTGGACTGGAAATCACAAGAGTACGAGCCTTCTTGTGAGATTTCCAGCACTTTTCTTATGGTTTTGACTGAACACCAGATGTGGAAAAAATATTTAACAAAACTGGATGCAGTTTTTTTCATGTCTGTTTCTAAAAAGAGATGAAGGTTCAGGAATCTAATTTTATCCTTTCCAGTTTCACTCCTTGGTAAGATTCTGTTCTAGTTTAAAAAAAAAAATAAATGCCATTTAAACCCAGAATGTAGCTATTGCAACCATTCCCCAAAGAATCGTTCAAGGAGATGAAACTACAAACATTACATTGACTATAAATTAAAACCTTATGCCTTTGGCAAGTGGAGTGCAAAAAATGACCAGGGTGAATGGTGACCATTAGGAAACATCCACTAATGTTCTTTCTTTTCAAAGATTATTTTTATTTGCTTTGCATGCAAACCTATTTGCATTTTTGACCCATTCCTGTCTGCTTGCACAATAAAATCAGGCTTTTAAGTTTCCCTAGCACAGATATTTCTGAGAATACTTGAGCAATTCTGCTTGCCATGTGGAAATTTTTAATTTTACACCAGAATCCAAAATCTCCTGTAAATCTAATAGATTTTGCAGACTGCTTGCACAAACCTGCATTACTTTTTGGGTGTAACACCAGTACTTGGATGCCGAGTCACTAATCAATGGCATGTATTTCTAATCCAGATGTTCCATATGTTCTTTGTGGACAATTCACAGCTGGGAAGGAGGGTCATATTAACTGGTTTGAGGGTTTATTAGTTGGCTTGCTGTAGTTATAATGCTTACTCACATTTGCATTTAAACTGGTGGTCTTTCATCAGAGAGGGGCACAAAAGGTTTGTTTGAAACCAAATAGTTAAAGTAGGTTAGGG